TTTCTGGAATTAATTGATTTTTTATTTTAATTATTTCATCAATTATTAGACTGTATGGATGTGATACACCAGTATGGGATGGTGGCATCTTAGGGACGAATTAACTAATAAAAGTTAAGTCCTACCTACTTGGATATATAAGGGAATGGATTAACCATAGAGTTAAGTCCTCCTTATTTATGTCAAACCACTATATCAGATAGATGACATTTTTCTCTTATGCTTATACGTACTTTTATATATATGATTATGATGCCATGATATGAGTTTGAGTCTTAGGATCATGGTTAGGGTACATATATTGCTTAGGATGAATAACTGGATATAGTAGACATTTGTGTGCCCTGGTAGGTCTAGGTACTCATGCTCACTTCAGGTGCGATTTGCATGTTGCCTTCTATTCAGGTTGAGGCAGACCTATAGTTCAGTGAGCGTCCTATAGTGTGTATATATATGTATGGACTAGGTAGCTATTGTTGAGTTGACTAGGATGTATACATATATCGGGTCTCTGTTTGGATTGTAGTAGAGTAGAGTTTGTTCATGGGCCTAATCCACTATTATTTTTCTGGCGTCTGACAGTTTCAGTCTTAGAGATTGTTCGTGCCGAGCAGAGACAGTTATTTACTCTTTCGACTACGTAGGACTCTTCTTTATGTTTTAGTTTTGGATTTGATTACAGTTTAGTTATTTTCTAGTTAGGTTATTATTAGGGGTCCACTAGATGGATTCCCGAGTTGTAATGATATCGGAGGTTTTGAGTTATTTTATTTAGAGGATAATTTATTTATTAAGTTATGGATTTATTATTTAGTTTTTTTTTAGCTTAATTATTATTTTTTCTTTAATTCTTCTTGTATTCTATGCTTATTTAAATATTAATTGTTTTGTATCGCTCGGTTCTGTGCTCAGACTTGATCACCCATAACTCTAGAATCGAGGGGTATCACACATGTTGTTTAAGTTTTTGAGTGAGGCCAGCGGCATCAGAAATATGACTTCAAGCCAATAAATTTAGTCACAAATTTGACCCAATTTGGAGTAGTATTGACTGAGTTATGGCCGTTGAAAAGTCAGTTAATTAAACTAGGAAAAGACAACCGATTGGATTCAAATTAGGTCGAGAGCAGCATTTTTGCACCTAGAATTTCAGTCGATTGAGTTTTTAACCCAGCCGATTAAGTAAGGAATCCAGCTGATTGGATTCTTAATCCAACCTGCTGAGTTTGCTGTATTTAAATTAAACAGGCAGATTCACCCCTTTGACAAACCCATGTTTCATCTATTCTTTCTGCAGCTTCACACTTGAGTAATATATTCAAATGCCCATCATGTAGAATCTCAAATGGCTATATTGTCGTGAAAGGACTATATAAACATCTACCGTGTTCAGCTGAAATGCAGAGAACTTGACTGAGCTAATTCGTAAGCATTTTACAGAGCTTTAGTTCTGGGTTTCACTTAGGATTAATAAAGCTTTTGTTCTGAATTTATCTATCTTCAACAGAGCTTCTGGTCTGAGTTTTTCTCTCTTAACAGAGCTGTTGTTCTATTCATTTATTAATCATCTCTCATATACATCATTGTTAGAATGTTGAGCTTCATTTGAATTCATATATACTCTAGTGTGAGCTTTGATTGTAATTCAGTTTTGAGAGAAATTTCTTGTACTTCAATTACTATCTTCAAATCAGTTGTAAGCCTAAGAGGAGGAGTTTTTCTTAGCAAAGAAATTGTAATGGTTGGTACAGACCCAAAGGAAGACTAAGAGAGGTTTATCTCTTAATAAGGAGTTGCTTTTTGTTAAGGTTTGCTCTTCACCCGTAAGGAAGAGCTAAGGTTTGCTCTCCACCCTTAACGAGGTATCATAATGCATTGGGGAAGTTTCAAGAGAGATCTTGAGCCGAGGAGTAGGAGTTTTCGAACCTCGCAAAATTTGTTGTATTATAGTTTGCAATTTCTCTTCTTATAACTCTTTTATAATTGTGTTATTTAATTGCTTATTTCATATCATTATAATTGCATAATTGTGAAAAGTAGTTTACTTGAAATTGCTTAGTTATAAACTGAAAATTGTTTATTATTTGTCATAAACTCAATTCACACCCCCCTAGAGTATATTCTTAGGTAACATAGAGAATTACTAAGGGCTTATTTTAATATACATGGAGAATTACTAAGGGTTTATTTTAATATTTTTTGGAACTAAAGTTATTATGGATTTCGGTAATTGTGATATAGCGGGAATGATGATAGTAAAAGGGTGTGAATTCAAATTTTAGGAACCTTTGCAATGGTTCTAAGAATTAGGGGGAATTGTTGACACCTTTTTTACAAGGTCATGTTGTGGTGACATGGACTACAACAACCAATTTGGGTTAAATGGATTTGAGAACTACTTCACTGAAACATCTATAAACCCTAACCCATCAAAACCGCTCTCACTAAAAAAAAATAGGGTCATCCTTCTGTTCTTCGCTGCTGTCAAGGGTTTCTCTGTTGGGAGATCATCTCGTATCATCAAAATTTCTTGTCTTCACATTCATCGCAATCCTTTTAAATTAAAATTCGTTCCTCGCTGTTGTCGAGGTTTTCTCTATAAAGAGATTGTCTCGTATCATCGAGAGTTTGTGTGTTTGCATTCATCATGATCCTTTTGGAAGTGCTTGGTTGTTTGACAGTGTAGCTCTCTTTCTAAGTTGCATGTTTAATTGGAGATGGTTGTGTATTTCTTATTTTGTGGATATTTTGGGTTTCTTGAGCTGTCTTTGTGTTGAGTGTGGTGATCTGTCTTTGGAGATATGGCGCTGATCTATAGTTACTCTAGATTTTGTCTTGTGATTGCTAAGTTTACATTATTTTTGTGGTTTTAGTGGAGTTCTCTGCTGTTGTTAAGTATTGTATTTTATTTTCCGTTTGGTTTGTTCCATGTCTGTGTTTTTTAGATGTTTGTCTTAGTTGAATCTGTCATGTGTGCTAGGCCGCTGATAGGGAATTGGAGGTTTTGTGGCGTTTTTCATCATTGGCTGAGTCTTGTTTGGATTTGGGTATGGATGTGTCTTCTTTTGGTCACCTATGATGAGTTGATTAGGTGTCCACTGCCTTTGTTTGTTTTCTGTTGGAGGGGGGCGTCGGGGATGAGGTATTGGTGGCGTCGGTTTCAAACACTGACTATGGGTCGGTTGATGATAAGGTTCTTGGCCGGCGATGAGTTGTTTCGGTTGGGAAGAAGTGTGGCAGTGGAGATTTACGCGCAGCCGTCATGTGGAGGGGCCGACTCCATGTATGGAATTCAATGTGTTGGCCTAAGGATTTTATCTAAAGGTTAATCTAATGTTTTGATGATTACAAACCATTAATAATGTTTATGTACTAATATTTTCATTGAGTGATGTATAAATGATCAATATTCAAACCTCAATAATGAGCTGAAGTCTATTCCAAGCATTCTAAGCAATGCATACAAAGTGATAAGCCAAAGTCTATTTTGAGCATTCCAAGCAATGGATTCAAGGAAGCCTTAAAAGTTGTAAGGAAAAAAAAAAAAAACCTCAGACTTCAAAGATCATTCAAGCATTTCAAAGAAAGAAAGCTAAACGATCATGGTCAAAGAATGAAGAAAATGGTAAATAGGATGGTGATAGCTTAAGATTTAATGTCAAAGTATATTTGAATATATTTTGAAGCTCAAAATTATAGGATCATACATATTCGTTCTAATTCAACTTTTAAATACCTAAAAATTTGTTCATGAACTTCATATATACATTCATACTTAAGCAACTCATAATAGGAAGTGCATAGAACTTAGTTAAATTCAATTTTAGTCTTGCGCAGAAATGGAGCAGCCTCTATTCAAGGTAAAACATGCTCCATTCAATGTAGAGCATGCTCTTTTCACTCCAGTAACCAATTTTGATTTTTACAAAGTAATGGAATCGTCTCCATTCAAAATTGAGCCTGCTCTTTTCACTCCAATAGCTAAATATGGCTCGAGAAACAAATTTTTAGAGAAAGAGCCGCCTCCCATTTTTGGGAGCCGCCTCTACTTGAAGAAGAGCCTGTTCCACTCATAATGGAGTCGCCTCCACTATTACATAGAGTCGCCTCCTTCTGGGGGATTTGAATTCCAACGGGAAACTTTGCATTTAATATTCTTCAACCACCTCTAACAGTTATATTGAGCTTTATATCTCTGTAAATATAAAGGTTTGGTCTACAATATAACTACACCACTTGAAAGAGCATTCAAGAAGAGCATTAAATAACCATAAATTATTTCCTTTGAGCTTTCATTCATTTATATCACTACACTCTCTCATCCTAGAATTTGAGCTTCATTTATATTCTTATGTACTCTAGCTGTGTGTACGTCTTTTCTTTGAGAGAGAAACAATCTTGTATTTTACTTCTATTATTTTAAACTTGTAAAGGTTGGTGTGACCCAAAAGAAGCCTAGGAGAAGGGTGTTCTCTTAGTAAGGAAGAAAAGTAGGGTCTTGCTTTAAATTAAAGGTTTGATGTCCACCATTAAGGAGAAGCTCTAATGAATTTGGGAAGTCTCACTACAAGAAAAATGACTTTTTACCACGGTAGAAAAGGCTTTCTACCACAGTTTTGAACCGTGGTAGAAATAGCCGTGGTAGAAAGTCGAGACTTTCTACCACGGTTTTGCACCGTGGTAGAAAGTCTATTTTCTACCACGGTTCTCCACCGTGGTAGAAAGTCTTCCTTTTTACCACAGTCCATAACCGTGGTAGAAAGTGTTATATAATTTTTTTAAAAATAATAGTTTAACCCTTATGAAGCCTCTTTTTTTTCTTCCCATGGTAGAAATAATGTGATAGTTTCTACCTCACATTAAGCCCATGGCATAAAGTGTGTATGTATATATATATATTAAATGGGTAACCTGTCGTCCAACAACATATATCACTCATATCCTACTCCACATACACAACCAAATTGCAACCAAAGGCATATATATATACAACAATCACCTAAAATTAATCCCAAACATTCATTAAATAATTTGAAGTACAAAGTTTCCATCATTGTTAAAAAAAGAACAATCACCAAAAATTAATCCAAAACATTCATTGAATAATTTAGAGTACAAAGTCTCCATCATTGTTAAAAAAAAGAAAACCAAGTGCTAACAAAAGATTGCAAAAAGAAGTAGCACCGCCAAGCTTGCCCAGCCATCTTCATTCACTGTGCCAACAAAGGATTATCACTAAGGAAGTTAGGCATGTGGTCACTAGCATTACCAGCATCACTGCTAACCCTGAAATGGATTAAAATTAAGATTGTGATCATTGAAGAAAAAGAGCTCCCTTAATTAACATGGTAAAAAACCAATATTGCAGTTGCTAACTAAATGCGAGTTGAACAAACCTTCTACCCAAGGTAAATAACCAATGTATATATCTTAGAAGCAAGGGGAAAAAAATTACCCTTATGCTAGACAATACATAAGATCTAACAATGAACTATTTGTTGTTTTTATCATGAGCATAAACTCATTATTCTTTTATGGAATGGGTAAAAAAATTATGAACAAACCTTCTACCTAAGGTAAAAAACAATGAACTATTTGTTGTTTCTATCATGCATATCTTACATGTCCTGTTATTCTTTTATGGAATGGGCAAAAAAATTATGCATTATAAGATTTGCTTAGATTCTCAAAAATTGAGAGGAAAGAAGAATAGATGTTTGTGTGTGTGTGTGTGTGTGTGTGATCCACGTAATACTGGGAAGAATAAGCCCAAATCTTAATAGAAAAATAAAGCCCATTATAATATATTAATACACATGTTAATATACAGACATCAAGAGATATATTACTAATAAAAAAAACTTTCACAACTAACTTTTAAAATTTAAAGTAGATAGAACTAGTTTGGCCCCCCAAACAAAAGTTGATGGGTCCACCCCTGATTCATAATAAAAAAAACCAAACCAATAAGATAACAAAACTGCAAATGTTAAAGACATCAATCGAATGAACACAAATACTATGCAGTATCCAGCAATGTCAAAAGCATAACCAGATCATTATGAACTTAACTATAATCGAAAGACCTTGGAGCCAACCATATCATAAATAGAGTTCCCTGGGCATATATTTCGATGCTATGCAGGTCTAATTAGGGGTATACAATGGACCATCATTTCCATCTTACCACCTTGGCAACAAATAAAATTCCATACATTAAAAAAGGCTCAAAAATTATTCTGCATTATTACATATTATTTGGACCAGCTAGTTAAACCAATGAATTATGTATGTTTTCTAAAAATTATATATATATATATATATACAAAAAAAAATCATTAGTTAAAACATAAAAGGAACCTCAATTGGGGAAGGAAATAATAAATAAACAAAAAGGAAAAGAAAATAGTTTTTCTTTCAATTGTTGAATAAGAGGGCTTTCTTCAACAAAGAAAATGACCTTATCTAATTCAATTTTTCTTTCTTTTTGACACTTTTTTAGGACTGAAACCTGGCCAAATTCTTTTAGAAAGTTTAGTAGATTTATTGTTTTTTTATAACCTTTATTCTCTTCTTTTCAAAGGAAGCGCCTGGTTTAATTAAATACTAATTTATCTTGCTATACCTATTTTGGGATATGCTACCAATAGTAATGGAATCAAATAAATGATCTAGGATGGTTTGTCAGCCATATTATATGGGACTCAGGTACTTGTGTCTTGAGTTGGTAAATGTCAAAGCAAGTAACTGTCTAAGGTTGAATATATCAAATACCTAAATCTGAGGACACTGTTAAATAAGAATCTTTATTGCCTTGGATGATAAGTCTTTTATGTGACATTGAGATTCATATCTACATCACCTTTTACTTTAGCACAAAGGTCATGTATTCTAGTACCAAATGGTGATTTAAGGGACTGACCTAACTCTAATTAATTTCTCACATTCAAAAACAAACTCACTTTTGATCTAAAGCTCACCTTATCACCACCACGTACATATGGTTCAGTTCTTAGGCGCATTTTTTATTCTTTATTTTTGCCTCTCACATTTGCTTTTATATACACTGCCATAAATTGAAGCTCAATTTCAACCTCTCATAGACAAAATAAATGACGACCACACACTTGCACAACATTCATTTGGACGCCAGTGTTTTAGAGTTTAGAAACAACTATATTTTCATTGTTGGCTATTCAAGTGTATTAATAAGCATAATGAGGATATGTTTCATAGTTTCTGGATGTTTTTCTTTTGGTATATTTTTCTTAATTACGAAAGCACTAAGAACTTTCACTTATTTAAATTCAGATGTACTTTTTTTATTCAAGAACAAACATCATACAATCACAAAATATTCCACTATAGCAAAAAAAAAATAAAAGACAAGAATTTATTATGAGAGAAAGCAATCATCAGACTAAGAAAAACCCATTTGTTTATAGAGAAATGTTGGAACAAATTCATCCTTCAGAACAAGGCAATTTACATAGATTTATTTGAAACGAAAACTATGTAAGGAGATATATGCATTCTTACAAAGAATTCACAACATATGATGATGATGAAAAATAATCCACCAGTGCTGTAATAGGATTCAGAACTAAATTAAATTCAAAGAATGAAACTTCAAACTTACATCTGCTCGTTACATGATGACAACAAATTCCTATAAATGCAAAGCACAACTTTTACGGAGCCAAAATGCTCATTCCTCAAATCCTTATAAAATCTGTGCTCTAGGTAATCAGTAATCTGTATAAGAACCAACAATGGAAGTGACTTCAAAAAAAGTCATAGGCACTTTGCCAAGGTTACAAATTTTAGAGTAACTTTTTTGGGTCTGACAGAATTTTTGAACTATCAAAAATTTGTCATTGGGTTCAAGAGATTGATATTTTCATTGCTTCAAATTCTCAATTGTTTTTGACATTTTCTTAATCAATATTTCCATTATCTTTACAAGATTTTAGAGTAAATATTTGATTTCAACAGGGGGAAAATTTGAATTAAATAAAAAAACTCTAGAAATTAACTGACTATAAGCATAAAGTTAAGAGCACAAGGCAAGGCTTGCCTTTAAATAAATAAAGAGATATTGGCTTCTCTTGTCTCTTAATATGCCAGGAAAATTGTATTAGACTATTAGGTGATAAATTTCAATTTGAAACCGTAACTAGAAAAATCTTTCAAAAAAAAAAAAAATTTGATGGGTTAACTAAAGAATAGTATAGTGGCTGAAAACTTTATATGGTAACTGCAAATTTAAATTTAAATGTTGAATTCAGAAACTTGAATTTGCTTGAGTCGGGATTTCTGATAGAGCCATGAATTGACAATACAATATGAATTGAATTTTCAGAACAATAGCCTTTTAGTGAAAGGGAAGTTAGGCCGTACCTTTGGTATTCGTAATGGATTTTTCAAAGCATAATCACAAAGCTTCCCAATTTTTCGGTCTTTTGGTTCAGCATCCTACAAAAGATGATTGACATAACAATATCAGAAGCCTTTAAAGGGGATAAACCCTAATTTCATATATACATCAATAAAATTGAAATCCCTAACCTGTTCGTATGCATCCTCTTCAAAAATTGAACTCCTCTAGCCCAACTCTAACATCAAAATCACATAGATGAGTGGTGAGAAGAATAAGAATCAAAATTTATGTATCCATTTTAATCGACCGAGTAAGTTTTGCGAACACACACACACATACATATATACGTGTATAAATAGAGAGAAATAGATTGGAAACAAACCTAGCAGCAGCGGTCGTCTGCAAATCGCCGAACACACCTTCGTGTCTCTAATGGAGGATTCTAGTTTTAGGGTTTCTTCTTTAGGGGTTAGGGTTTGCTCTGATGGTCAACTGAAAGAGGGTTGATGGAAAGAGGGAAAAACATTTTCACCGGTTAGGGCTTTAATCCACCAGCACTGTATGTGGTTTTTTTTGTGTGGGTGTGTGGATTTGTCTCTGAGTTTTCGTTCGATACAGCTTAAGGGAATTGTGGCATAGCCATTCCTAATCTAGTCGCTCGCCCTCGCTCTACTGAATATATATATTTTTTATTTTATTTTTTTGGAGAGGACAAGCATTCAAAGTATTAGCGGGAATAATACCCGCTAATATAAATTCACCTCCTAACCACGGTTCTTCTAGAACCGTGGTAGAAAGAGTCCCTTTCTAGCACAGTTCAGCATTAACCGTGTTAGAAATGGTCTCTTTTTATCACGGTTTCGCATTAACCGTGGTAAAAAATGATTTCTACCACGGTTCCGCATTAACCGTGGTAGAAAATGGTATTTCTACCACGGTTCTTGCGGAACAGTGGTAGAAAGCGTTTTTTATCACGGTTAATGCGGAACCGTAGTAAAAAGACCATAGTTAAAAGTTATTTTTCTTGTAGTGTCTCAAGGAGGATCCTGAGCCAAGGAGTAGGAGTTTCCGAACCTCGCTAAATCGTCGAGTCTTTATTTACAATTTCTTATCTCTATTTTTTTTTTTATACTTGTGTTATATATTGCTTGAATATTTCAATTGATTATTGCATGATAGTTAGTTGGAAATAATTTTTATAAATTACAAAAATTAGCCATTGACACCATTCACCCCATCTAAAGTCAATTAGTGGTTAACAATTGGTGTTAGAGCCTAATCTCTAGAAAAAGATTTAATCATCCTAAAGAACGATTATGACCAATACAAATTTTTATCAAGAAGGTCAATCTAACAATAAACCTCATTGGTTTGACAGAAATGACTACAACTATTGAAGAATTAGAATGAGAGCGTTCCTAAGAAGCCTAGATATAGATGTTTGGAAAGCCACCGAACAAGGAGACCATATTCCAACCAAAATAGTAGATGGTGAAAATGTTCTAACAACCGATATTGAATGGACCCTCAATGACCGTAGGTTTGTTTAATGCAATGTCAAGGCTATCACTAATCTTTATTGTGCCTTAAGCAAAGATGAATTCAATAGAGTTTCGGATTGTGAAACGGCCAAAGAAATTTGGGATAAACTTGAAGTTACCTATGTAGGTACTAGTCATGTTAAGGAATCCAAAATGAATATGCTCGTCCATAAGTATGAACTTTTTACCATGAACAACAAAGAAACTATTAGTGAAATGTACTCTCGTTTTACTAACATTGTGAATCCTTTGAAGGCTTTTGAAAGGTCATATACATTATCTGATAATGTGAGAAAAATTCTTAGGTCTTTGCCTAAAAATTGGGAAGCCAAGAAGACCGCCATCTAAGAGGCCAAAAATCTCAACACACTCCCCATAGATGAACTCATTGGTTCATTGATGACTTATGAGCTAGAAATGAATGATAGAGATAAACACAAAGAAATGCAAAAGAAGGATATAGCTCTTCAAGCTACTACTAAAAAAGTTGCAATTGATAAAGCTCCTAATGATGAAGAAGAAGAAGAAGAAGAAGAAGAAATTGCTCTCATTACCAAAACCGTGAGAAAAGTCCTTCAAATGAAGAAGTATAAAAAAAGTAACAACTTCAAAAGAAATGGTTCATCAAGTGAGCAAGGAAAGAGGAAAGCACCTACTTGTTTTCCTTGTGGAAAACTGGGATATTTCAAATCTGATTGATATGCTTACAAAAATGAAAAGGAAAGGAAAAAGAAAGGCAGAGCCATGCGAGCTACATTAGAGGATGATGATTCAAATGGATCCAAAAGTGACGATGAACTTAATGAATTGGTCAATCTTTGTCTCATGGCCGATGAAGATAAGGTAAATTCTAATCATGATTCATTTGATTTGGAAACTACTTATGATGAATTGGCTGATGCACATAACTATTTTCTAGATGCTTTTAAAGAATTTAATGATGAATTAGGCAAAATAGTTCAAAAATGTGCTAGTCTTAGACGATAAAAGTTTATCATCTCTCAAAACCTTAAAAAATCTCAACTTGAAAATGAAGCTTTGAAAAAGGAAAAAGAATTAGCTAAAGAATCAGCCTCAATTAGCTTAATTTTTGAAAATGAATCATTGAAAGTCATTATTGAGGATCAAATTAAGATTTTAGCCAAATTCATAAAAGGTAGAGAGAATTTGGGCTTCATACTTAGAAAGCAAAGAAATGCTTATGCTAAAGATGGGCTTGGATATGATCCTTAGAACAAATATTATTGTTTATTGAAAAAGAGAAAACCTTTGAACAATTATTTTGTTAAAAATTCCTCTTTAAGTCTAAAATGCAATTATTGTAAAAAGTTAGGACATAAGATTAATCATTGTCCTATTAGGTTATGTATGACAAAAGAAATTTGGGCTATTAACGGGACATATATGCCTCTTCCTAACTCTCATGAACCCAAGAAAATGTGGGTACCAAAAGAAGATTACTCAAATTCCTTTTGTAGGTTTGCTTAAAGTCTCTATATTCATCTAAGGACAAATGGTTCCTTAATAGTAGATGCTCAAGACATATGACGGGAGATCAATCACAATTTCGCTCCATCAAACCTCATAAAGGAGGAAGTGTTACATTCAGTGACAATTCAAAAGGCAAGGTCATTGGCATTGGAACTATTGGTATCTCCTCTTCCTTATCTATTGATGATGTTTTACTTGTTAAAGGCTTAAAATATAACTTGTTTAGTATTAGCCAACTATGTGATAAATGATATGATGTTTTGTTTAAATCGGATAAATGCATTATCAAAAAGGATAATAATAAAGTATTTCATGCTCTTAAAAATGGTAATGTGTATATTTTGCTTTTGTGTGAATTACATGATTAAGATGTCAAATGCCTTGTATCTTCAAATGAAAATAATTGGTTGTGGCATATAAGGTTTGGTCATGCTAGCATAGATTTGATTTCAAAACTATCTAAAAATAAAATAGTCAAAGGCCTCCCAAAGACTAATTTTTCTAAACATAAAACTTGTAGCGCGCATGCTAAATATGCAAGCAAATCAAGTCATCATTTAAAAGGAAAAAGTACATAACAACTACAAGACCACTTGAATTAATTCATATGGACTTATTCGATCTGAAGAGAATTACTAGTCTTGGTAGAAAACTCTATGCATTTGTCATTGTTAATGATTACTCTAGATTCACTTGGGTATTTTTCCTTACACACAAAAATGAGGCTTATACAATCTTTGCTAAATTTTGTAAGAAAGTTGAGAAAGAAAAAGAGTGTAAGATTAAGACCATTAGAAGTGATAGAGGAAGAGAGTTTGATAACCAAGATGTAGAAAGATTTTGTGATGAAAATGGATACAATCATAATCTTTCGGCTTCTAGAACTCCTCAACAAAATAGAGTTGTTGAAAGGAATAATAGGTCTCTCCAAGAAATGGCTAGGACTATGTTGAATGAACATAAATCTCCTAGAACTCTGTGGGCCGAAGCCGTTAGTACCTCATGCTATGTCATAAATAGAGTCATCATTAGAAAACTCCTTAATAAGACTCTTCATGAACTTTAGAATAAAAGGAAGCCAAACATTGGATACTTTAAAGTTTTTGGGTGTAAATGCTTTGTGTTAAATGACAAAGATAATTTAGAAAAATTTGAACCTAAATCGGATGAAGACATTTTTCTAGGATATTCTTCTCGTGCCAAAGCATTTAGAGTGTTTAACAAAAGAACACCAGTGGTTGTGGAATCTATACATATTGTATTTGATGAATCACCATCGCCCCCTCTTAGATATTCATTGGATGATAATGAAGATGTGATTGAGATTGAAAAGAACATTGAAAATCTTGATTTAAATGGTCCATCTCTTGACGATCTTCCCAAAAATGATCCAAAAGAAAGTCACTTTCATAAGGACACATTTCCTAAGGCTTGGAAGCAAGTGCCTAATCATCCAATAAATCAAATTATTGGCGATCCATCTAAAGGAGTAAGCACTAGATCTCAAATGAGTAATATTTGCAATTATGTGGCTTTTGTTTCCCAACTTGAACAAAAAAATATTCATGGAGCCAAAAATGATGAATCTTGGCTCTTGGCCATGCAAGAAAAACTTAACAATTTAACAGAAATGAAGTTTGGCAATTGGTTCCAAGACCTAAAGATAAAGCTATCATTGGTACAAAGTGGGTATTTAGGAATAAAAAGGACGAATCAGGAATAATTGTGAAAAACAAGGCAAGGCTTTTTGCTCAAGGTTATAATCAAGAAGAAAGAATTGATTATGAGGAAACCTTCGCCCCCATAGCTAGACTTGAAGCTATAAGAATTCTCCTTGCATTTGTATCCCATAAGAACTTTAACTTATATCAAATGGATGTAAAAAGTGCTTTTTTAAATGGCTTCATTGAAGAAGAAGTGTATGTAGAACAACCCCCGGGCTTTGAAAGCTATAATTGTCCAAACCATGTTTTCAAATTGTCAAAAGCACTGTATGGTTTGAAACAAGCTCCAAGAGCTTGGTATGAAAGACTAAGTGGTTTTTAACTTGCTAATGGTTTTATTAGAGGAAAAATTGACAATACTCTTTTTACTAAAACCATTGATAGCAACTTGTTGGTCATTCAAATTTACATTGATGATAGTATCTTTGGATCAACCAATAGTGTGCTATGTGAAAAGTTTGCCTCAAGCATGCAAAATGAATTTAAAATGAGCATGATGGGTGAATTTACCTTCTTCTTAGGGTTGCAAATCAAACAAACACTTGATGGCATTTTTGTTTGCCAATCTAAGTATGCTAAAGATTTGCTAAAGAAATTTGGCTTGGAGGAAGTCAAACATGCCAATACTCTAATGAGCTCATCTTTGAAACTTGATAAAGATGAAAAGGGCATTAATGTGGATATTAAAAAATATAGAGGTATGATTAGTAGTCTCTTATATTTAACCGCAAGTAGAATGGACATCATATTTAGTGTATGCTTATGTGCTCGTTTTCAATCTTGTCATAAAGAATCTCATCTATGTGCCATTAAAAGCATATTTCGTTATTTAAGTTAACCACATTCTTAGGACTTTGGTATCCTAGGCATAGATCATTTGACCTTGTTGGTTACTCAGACGCTGATTTTGAAGGATGCAAAGTTAATAGAAAAAGTACTAGTGGGACTTGTCACTTCAT